TTCAGGGAAGCAAAGCCCAAACCACACCCACTGCCGTGGAGTCCATTCTGACCCACAGCGCCCCTAGAGGACAGAGTGGAACTGCCCACAGCGTCTCCAAGGCTGTCCATCTTCACAGAAGCGCGCTACTTCATCTTTGTCCTGTGGAGTGGCTGGTGGATTTGAACCAGCTGAGCACTTTTAACCAGGGCTGCTCCTTATTGCTGTGGTTTTGATAATATACTTAACAAGTTTATCAAGGTGGGTGGTGTCCCTGGTGAACTCATTTTTGGTTTTATACTTTTATGTTTTTAAGAGCCAGATTTACAGAAATCACATGACTGCCAGCTCCTATGAGGCCCCCGCTCCACCAGGCTCCTTCCACAGTGATTATGGCTATGGCGCTTACGGCGGGGTGCGGGGCTTCCCCGAGTACAACTGCCCTGCTGACGGCAGCTGGCCTGCCGTGGACTCAGGTGGGTGCTCTTGGGGCACAGCAGGGCTAGCGTCTCCCCCATGCCCAGCAGCACAGAGGGACACCGTGACTGCGAGGGCCAGGGCGTCTGTGGTGGCCTGGTGCACCCCGCGGGATGAGGGCGGCCCACTCAGCCCTCCGTGTGGAGCTTGTCAAGGGGCATCCTCAGGGCCCCAGCTCCAGCACGCAGAGGCAGCTCTGCGTTTGCATAGCCATCAGGCGGCCTTGTCCGAGCTCTTGTGCCCCAGACGTCGGCAACCTGGACACGCGGTTCGGGAGGAAACTTTTAAGTGCATCTGTCCTGGAGCCGCGTTCACGTTCAGAATGCCTCCAGGACACCCAGTGGAGCGCTGTTTCTCAGGAAACTCCGAGTCTGCGGAAGCTGTGGAACAGCAGTAGTTTTCTTTATTCAACAGTTTCAGTTTAACGGCCTTGCTTTCCTTTTCTCTCGGGGAGTTTCGTGTGTCACCCCGGGTTCTCTGTGGTAACATCGGGCTGATGGGACACGGTGCTCGGGAGCACCTGGGGCCCTGGGAGCATGGAGTCCAAGCAGCAGGAACCCCAGAAAAGGGCTCTATGGGCTTTGTCAAAGGGCTTTTCCTCTGAGAAGCTTCTTTTTAGCAGCAGAGACTTGGGCACGTCCCCTGGCGTTCAGGTGCTTAGTAACCGGTGACTTCCTGCCCAGAGGCAGTTTAGCGCAGTGAGTGAACTTGGCCTTGTTGTCGGTGGCTGCGCCGCGCGGGCATCTAATTCAGGGCCCTCCAGGGCTAAGCTGCTTATCTTTTCTTCCGGTGACTTGCTCACAGCCCCGTCAAGACCCAGTTCTCCTGAGAAGTTCTCAGTGCCCCACGTCTGTGCCAGGTTCGGTCCTGGTGGGCAGCTCATCAAGGTGATCCCAAACCTGCCTTCGGAGGGACAGCCGGCGCTGGTCGAAGTGCACAGCATGGAGGTAACACAGCTGGGTGCACCGCTGCTCTGTGCAACCCGGCCCTCCATGGGCTTGGTGGCCGGTCAGCCTCAGGCAGTGAGTTGGGTGGCTGAGAAAAGCCCTCAGGAAGTGCTTACCAGCCCACGAGCCTTCGCTGTGCACGTGCCCCTGGTCTCCAGTTATGCCCCTGGTCCCAGAAGCCCCTGCAGCAGGCACCTGTACTAGCTGGTGTGCAGAGTCGGGCTTGGCTTCTCATGTGCACCTGTGGTGACAGAACCTGCGTGCGTTCATCATGGTGGCCTAAAGTAGCTGCACCGAGGAGGGGCAGGCTGCAGGGGGCAGCACCACTGCATCCCCATCTGGTGAGCCAGCTCCCCACCATGGGGGCCTCTTCCGTCATACACATCGGACCCTTTCTCAGGGTTTGTAGAGGAAAAAATGGACCTCACTCCTTAAGATCAGATCTGAAAGTCACCACTTTTGACCAGCGTGGCTGCTCCCTGCCCGTGTTTCTGACGAGTGCTGGCCGACCTCACTGGGTAGTAGGGGAGCAGCTGCCCTCTGCCCGCCCCGTCCAGTCTGCAGCGCTGGCCCCATGGGCGCCCCCTTCTTGTTGCAGACGCTGCTGCAGCACAGCCCGGAGCAAGAGGAGATGCGCTCATTCCCTGGCCCGCTTGGCAAGTACGTGGCCACCCGCCGGCTCTCGAGGCGTATGCGGGCTGTGGCCGCTGCAGTGCTGAGCGTCTGTCCTCTTTGCAGAGATGACACCCATAAAGTGGACGTCATTAACTTCGCCCAGAGCAAAGCGGCAGGATGTTTCCGGGATGAAAGCCTCATCGACCAGGAGTCTGCCAGCCTTCTCTGGAAGTTCATTGTTCTGCTGTGTAGACAGAATGGGGTACGAGTCTCCATTGGGTGCTCTGCTGGGATTGCACACGGAGAGGGGGGTGCTTGGCAGCTGGCCTGAGTCAAGCGGGGTTTCCATTGCCGGCCTCTCGGCCCGGGCTCTGTGCCCGGGTCCCTGCCGTCCTCTGAGGGCGGCTCATACGGCAGGTGTTCAGCCTGAGCTCAGGAGGAGACTGCTCAGGCCTTCCCTGCTCATGCTCCCTGCTCACCTGCCGACCCCTGTAGACCGTGGTGGGCACCGACATCGCCGAACTCCTGTTGCGTGACCACAAAACCGTGTGGCTTCCTGGGAAGTCCCCCAACGAGGCGAACCTCATCGATTTTACCAGTGAGGCAGTAGAGCAGGTGGAGGAGGAGGAGTCCGGGGAGGCTCAGCTCTCGTTCCTCACGGACCGCCAGACGGCCGGCACCGACGCTCTCGAGAAGGACACCGAGCGCTTTCGAGAGCTGCTCCTCTACGGCCGCAAGAAGGTGAGCGCCGTCTGCCGGGCGGCTCCCGGGCGTCCTCCCTCAGGAGGCTGCAGTCTCTGGCCGGCCACATCCAGGCCTTTGACGGTGCACTGCCTGTGTCCTGGCTCCGCTCGGCCACACCCGAGACGCCCCAGGGAGGCAGAAAGGCACCCTGTTCTCTGTCTTTCCTGCTTCGTGGGGGCTGGGAGTTGGGAGGAGAGATGAGATAGTTGAGCAAGACCATGTCTGATGGCTCAGCCGTTCAGAGCCCTGGAGAAGGGAGGAGTGTGAAGGATGGGCCTGGAGGGCACAGCTTGTGGGGAGCCACAAGGAGGGGGCACCCTCCCTGGGGACACTCTTGTGGTGAGGGAGAGGGCACTGGTGTGGGAAGAAATCTAGGGCAGGGCCGTGGCTTGGGTGGCGGAGCCAGAGTGACCCTGGCGGGGACAGCGGGGACAGCTAGCGTGTACACAGCTGGGGCCCAGGTGTCGAGGCTGAGGTGCCTGCCAGGTGGCAGGGGCACTGGTGCGTGGGGCTCTGAGTGGTGGAGATGGAGAACGGGACACAGAGTAACCACATGACTGGGAAATGAGCGCTTTCAGCATTACGCTGACAGAGCCTCCTGGATTCTGGGAACATTTGTCTCCGTCACAGCATTTCTGTTTCTTAGCCCGAAGGCTGCCCTCACGAAGGCCTTGCTTGTGCTTAGGAGGTGCCAGCAGAGCCCGGGGCTGCTCCGAGCTGGGGTCCTGGTGACGGGGATCCTAGGGCCACCCCGAGCTGGGGTCCCGGTGACAGGGATCCCGGGTGCTGCTCCGAGCTGGGGTCCTGGTGACGGGGATCCTGGGGCCACCCTGAGCTGGGGTCCTGGGATGGGTTTCTTGTCACAGTGGGAGGCAGCCTTGCTTGTAGTTCTTCTCACTCGTGTGCCCTGGTGTGCCCTGGCTCTCCATGCTGGAGAGGTGGTGGTCTCCGCACTGGAGAGGTGGTGCTCTGGTGACAGTCACAGAGAAGACCACATGCGTGTCTGCAAAGACTTGCCGTGTAGGAGCTTTGTAACTCAGGAGCTCCCCCTTGTGAGCTGTGTGCGTTGGGCTGGGGCCTTTGAACCTGCTGGTTCTCCCTCTGGGCTGAGTTCTTTGCACTGCTGTCCGTGTGTGAGGGCGTGTGGTCCGGGGCCCTGCTCGCTTGTTACGCTGACGTGAGCTGCTTTGAAGGTGCCACCACGCCCCCCCTCGTCCTCAGTAACCAACCAGACGCTTTGCAGGATGCACTGGAGTCTGCCATGAAGAACGGCCTGTGGGGTCACGCTCTGCTCCTGGCCAGTAAGATGGACAACCGGACGCATGCCAGAGTCATGACCAGGTAGAGGAGGCCACGCCCAAGGAGCTCGGCTGGTCAGCACGGGCATTTTTCTGGGGGAAACAAGGAACTTTGCACGTGCATGGCATGCATACAGCAGGTGTATACTAAGGGTACTAGCACAAGAACCCTCTGCCCACTAGTTCTCCCAGTCACAACTATGGCATGCAGATCCTATGCCCATTGACCCTCTCCTCTGGGGTGGTTCTGTGGCATAGGGACCCTATGCCCACTGGCCCTCCCCTGGGATGGTGCCATGGCACACAGACCGTATGGCCACTGGCCCTCCCCTGGGGCTACATGATTGACTAATACTTAGATTACGTCTAAGCGTGTGGCTTTTAATACTTTCTATAAACCCCATTAGGTTCTACAGTCCTCACCTCTGACAGCTTTAAAAATGAAGGTTGAGGCCTGCTGGTTGCTGGGTTAGACCTTCGTGAGTTTGGTTGTTACATTAAAGCACTGTTTTTGCTAACTGAGCCCATGTGCAGTTGGTGTTTCTGTGTCTGCCCAGGTTTGCCAACAGCCTGCCCGTTAACGACCCTCTGCAGACAGTGTACCAGCTGTTGTCGGGCAGGATGCCAGCAGCGTCCACGGTGAGTGTCACCGCTGAGGAAGAACCTGGGCAAGTGCCTGCTCGGAGGGCCCTAGACCGCGTTGTCATGTGTGCGGCATGTGGTGCTTCGTGCACATCATAGCCTCTGGAGCTAGCGGGGACAGAAGCACCGCCTGTGGGTCACAGCAGGTGCTTTCTGTCTGTCCGTGGCGCAGTGTTGTGGAGATGAGAGGTGGGGAGACTGGAGGCCACACCTGGCCATGGTTTTGTCCAACCTGAACAACAACATGGAGGTGGAATGCAGAACAATGGCTACGATGGGGGACACTCTGGGTAAGGGGCCGAGGTGGGCAGTGGGCAGGCTGGGCAAGGGGCCGAGGTGGGCAGGGGGACAGGCTGGGTAAGGGTAGGGGTCAGTGGCTGAGATGGGCATGGTCCAAGACCTGAGTGGGTCGCACTGCTGGAGGACTGAGTGGTAGATGTTGCTGATTCTGTGGTGGGCTTTTGGTGTTTTCTGTTACAATTTTCTGATTTCTGTGAGCATGGCTGGTGGTGAGGTCCGGCCTGCCTGTGTCCCTCCAGCTTCCAAAGGCCTCTTAGATGCTGCCCACTTCTGCTACCTCATGGCCCAGGTTGGATTTGGGGTCTACACGAAGAAAAGTACAAAACTGGTCTTGCTCGGCTCCAACCACAGGTGAGGAGCCAGGTGTGCATGATAGCGTGTCTTCCTTAAAGCAGGAGCTTCCTCCCATTAGCCCAGCACAGGACGTAGTCGGGGTCTGTTGCCAGCCTTGGTCTCTGCATCCGGTGGCAGGAATCTTGGGTGAATGATACCAGTAGTTGGCAGCTGTCTCAAATCAGAATAATCCTTCCCTCAACAGTTGGCCGTTCTTGAGGTTTGCAACCAATGAAGCTATTCAGAGAACAGAAGCCTATGAGTACGCTCAGTCCCTCGGGGCCCACAGCTGCTCCCTCCCTCATTTCCAGGTCGGTGCTGGGGGCGCATCTCCTGTTTTAGCACATGGGTTGCCCATGCCAATGCGTGTGTGGGTTCTGAGGAAAGTGAACACAGATTTTTGGAAATTCATTTTTCTGAGAGACATTTGATCTGTGATGCTCTCAAACGAAGCCGTGTTGTATAAAAGTTGTTTGCTTTCTGACTCTTGATGTTTTAAATATTAAAAATCTAGAGCGCTCACTCTAGTATCAGATGTGCTGAGAGCTCTCTGAGTCTTACAGCTTTTCAGAGTGTGTGGGGTACCATGTGTACCCGTGAGCAATGCTGCCCCACGTGTCGGGCACAGCGTGTACCCATGAGTGGTGCTGCCCAGCGTGTAGGACACTGTATCTGTGAGCAGGGCTGCCCAGCGTGTGTCAAGGACAGTGTGTACCCATGAGTGGTACTGCCTAGCATGTGTCGGGGACAGTGTGTACCTGTGAACAGTACTGCCCAGTGTGTTGGGCACCATGTGTACCCCTGAGCAGTGCTGCCCAGCGTGTGTTGGGTTCAGTGTGTATCTGTGAGCGGTGCTCTCAGCGTATATTGGGCACAGTGTGTACCTGTGAGCGGTGCTGTCCAGCGTGTGATCAGGTACTGTGTGTACTTTGGGGCGGTACTGCCCAGCATGTGTTGGGCACTGTGTACATCAGGACAATGCTGAAACGCTGGCAAGTGCCTGCCTCTCTTTGGGGCAGCCCAGTGGCTGCATTAAAGCTGGGAAGGAGAAAGCGACAGTGGGGCCCAGAGGGGCCTTGTCTGCTCTCTTTGATCCTGAAGTGTCTCACAGATAAGGGCTAGTGCCGCTGTTGTGGGGGAAGAAGGGTGGCACTCAGTGGTACGGGAAATTGTGGAGAGCCCACAGCTGATGACGCTGTGCAGCCAGGCCGGAAGACAAGGTGTTTGAGGCCTCTGCTCGTCGTAGGTGTTTAAGTTCATCTACGCCTGCCGGCTGGCTGACATGGGACTGGCCACACAAGCCTTTCACTACTGCGAAGTCATTGCCAAGAGCATCCTGGTGCGGCCCCAGGCGCACTCCACAGTACTAATCGGCCAGCTCATCGAGGTGAGTGCCTGGGAGCCCCTGGGTGCTCTCGGCCTGGGGGATTGGGTGCATGCAGCACTTGGCCTAGCTCTGGGCCGTGCTGTGTGTTTTAGTGTGCGGAGCACGAGGTGCTGAACTAGAGCAGGACCTTAGCAGTGAGCGTCTGGGACGGGAGAGATCCCTGTACTCTGGGAATTTTACTTCAGAGCAGTTTAGTTTGGTAGTTAGAAGGGCCCAGTGGCCTAGGGTAAGTCCCGTCTCTGCCGCTGGAAGCTCCAGTCTCCTTATCTTTGAAGTGGAGATGGCTTGACAGTCCCTGAGAGCCTGGGGAGAGCCTGGGACAGGGAGGCCATGGGTCAGGCGTGCAGGCATGGCAACTGCATGCCAAGTCTGTCCAGACCCAGCAATGCAGGCAGGCTGCCCTGAGGAGGGTCTGGGGCTGCTGCTGTATGTGCAGGGGTGTCACTTGGCCATGTGTGCTGAGCGCTTGAGTCCCACACCCTTTGCCTGATCACCTGCTGATGCATAGAGACGCCAAGGGCGCCTCACGTGAGCTTGCCACGGACCCGCTGAGCCCTCGTCTTCGGTTTCACTGGTTACGTCTGCTCCAGGTGGTAGTCTGAAGACACTGTCTTGCTGGCCCTCACCTGGTGGTAACAGGCCTTCATTTTGCTGCGTTTCTAGGTAGCTTCCCAGTTACGCCTCTTTGATCCTCAGCTGAAGGAGAAGCCGGAAGAGGAGGCCTTTGTGGAGCCCGCCTGGCTGGTCCAGCTGCAGCATGTGCAGAAGCAGATCCAGGTAGATGACTTGGAGGCTGGCAGCCAGTCACAGGGCAAGGAATGGCACCCCTGTCCTTTCCCGTCAAAGACAGCCAAGCTGAGCAGTGGCACCGCAAGGCACTGAAGGCTGGGCAGGCGGCTCCCGGGCCGGGTGGTGGGATGCCACGTTCAGACGGCGGGTGGCTGGTGGGCTCTGGGTGCCTGAATGTCTCTCCCCAGGAGGGTGCTGGGGCCTGGCAGCAGGATGGAACCTTCCCCCCACAGTGTCCCAGCACGCCGGGCTCCCAGGCAGAGCAGTGTGACAGCCCAGGCCCCGGGCAGCCAGCAGCTCTGGGCCCTGAGAACCCACTGCTGGCACTGCCCCTCCTGAGTGCTGAGCCCTCCGGCCCCAGCGTGCAGCTGCTACCCTCAGGTGAGCCCCCCAGGAGTGCTGGCTTGACAGGGAGACGTTTTGCTGTATGGGGACTGGAGGAGACATTTTGTCCCTTCCCCGAGGTTTGAGGGGCTCCTCGGGCCTCCTCCTCTCTGTGCTTGTCCCTGGACTCGCCAACCAGCTGTGTGGCTCGGGGCTAGCAGTGTCCCTAGTACATCTGATGACGGGAACAAGTATTAACCCTCTGACTCCAAGACTGCCCACTCTGCCCATTGCAAGCCAGCGGGGTGGTGATGGTGGTGTTGGCCCTTCTCTGGTTGTCAGCTCGTGGCAAGTGGCTGCATGAAGACCCGGGGGCAGCTTTGAACATGCCAGTGTCTTCATGTTAGTAACTGCTGTTCTCTTCCTCGTTGTCCTCACAGCCCCGCAGACGCCTCCAGGCGTGCAGCCGCCCAGCCTCATCAGAGTGCCACTGTTCCCAGTACCACCGCCTCCAGGCCTGGCTGAGCCGGCACCTGTGTGTGCACCTCTGGGGTCTACACTTGGGTTCCCGGAGCCTGCGTGGGCTGGTCCTGCAGCCCCCCACGTGGGGCCTGGTGCACGGGCAGGTGCCCCTGCTCTCCAGCAAGACGAGTCTGGGCATCAGGATCCAGGTGGGCCTGCAGGTGTGCCGTCGGCACTGGCGTGTAGTGAGCCCCGGCTGTGCTCGGGGACGACTGGCAGGAGAGACTTCACAGGTCCCACGATCTTGAGACAGGCTACATTGCATGTCTCTACATAGACCTAAGATTCTAGACATTAGGACAACTGATGAAGCCCTGCTAGGCTGGAGTGTCCACACTGGCTTCTCGGGTGACTTGGCTGTTTACGGTGGTATGAGGGTGGAATGGACCTTCACGGCCAGATGCAGGAGCCTTGAGGGGCCTCAGGCCTGTGTCTGCAGACAGCCCTCGAACTCCTTGTGAGCACAGGAGTGGGGTTGTGGACTCAGCACTGAAGTCAAGCCGGCTCCTTGTTCCTGGTCTGTCCTTGGCTCTCTTTATTGGGACAGGAATGACATCTACAAAGATGCTATTTCCATAGATTCACACTAAGTCTCATCCTTGGTTCCTGAAAACAACACGGGTGCAGTGGGGCTCCCCTGAGAAAGTAGGGTATCCCTCAGTGTGTTTGACATGGACACCCCTGTGTCCAGTGTTCTATGGGACTAAATGCTACCATTCTCAATTCTGCTGACAGGGGTCTTGCCACGGGAGTCACCCACGAGAAACTCGCACTTGGCACCGCAGGGAGAGGATTTTGGTGGAAACATTGACAATCCGGTATTGTCTCACATTCTTGTTTCAGCTATTTGTTTTCCGTAGATCAAGTTCATTGAGTTCTGTCTTCAGCTGTAAGTAGAGAAAAGAACGAAGGTTGTGAAATCGTGCTTAAAAGAGAAAGCCCACCTCTAGCGGCTTCTGTCCCAAACACGGGGAGGGTAGGGAAGCCATCCATAGGGAAAAAAAGAGGAGGAGGAGGGTGGGACCCCACAGTGTAAAGACAGGTCCCTCCCCAGGAGGAGAAGGAGCCAATGGCCTGAAACCCCTTTGTGAATTTGATTTGCCTGAGATGGGGAAGCGTCTCTCGTGTCTGAACTTCCGTGATACGGTGGTTAGATGCTGTTGCGTCAGTTTTGACCGGCGATCCCACGAACAGAACGAGACACTGCCCGGTCATCCTCACGGCCTGCTCTGCTCTGGGTCCTTCTGCTTTACCGAGCGTGGTGCCTGTACCCGAACCCTCACCCTCCTGACAGCATGTCATCCTTGCTCCTGAGGAGCGTTCTGGCTGCACTTCCTCCAGGACGGATTTGTGCGTTCTCTGACCGTCCGCGCGAGCTCAGTGATCGTCACCGACACCACAGGGCAAAGGCATCAGCGCTGCTTTTGTCGTCCTCATTTGTTGTCTGGCTTTCACATGCATGTGGACTTTCACTATGGCTTGGGTTAGCTGTGCTTCAGTCTTCAAAGTGACTAAATCTTCTCTTCTTAACACTTGAGACGTCTTTTGCAGTAGATCTGCCCAGGGTAGTACATTGTTTGATTCCTTGACTGCTGTTTCCACGGACGATGATTGTGGATCCAGGTAAAATGAAATCCTAGACAACTTGAAATCTTTTCTCCGTTTAGCATAATATTGTAATTGGTCCAGCTGTGAGGATTTTTGTTTTCTCTATGTTGAGGCCGAACGCACCCTGAAGGCCGTGTCTTTGGTCTCCACCAGTAACTACGTCAAGTCACCTTCACTTTGAGCGGCAAGGCTGTATCATCTGCGTATCACAGGTTATTCATGAGTCTTTCTCCATCCCTGATGTCACCTTACTCATACAGTCCAGCTGCTCAGATTATTTGCTCAGCAGACAGATTGAATAAGGAAAGGATAACACCTTGATGCACACTTTTAATTTAAAAAAAAATGTATTGTGATTTGGGTGATAGTTTAGAGAACAAATTCATTTTCCACACAGCAGTTCATACACATTTTGTTTCATGGCATTGAGTGCACTGCCCCGTGATGTAACAGCTCTCTTCCCACCTCCTCCCATAGTGACCTCTTCCCTGTGTCTTTCCTTCCTGTGCACTCCTGCTCCCTGAGCTGTCTCCCTGTGCAAACACTGCCTTTCCATTCTCCCACAATTGATCACTCTAAGGAGTGTATCTACCTGATGTAAATGTTTACCCCATATGGCTGTCTATTGTTTGCCTGGAAGCCACAGGAGTGAGTTCAGTTCCAGACCTGAAGGGTAACTAGGGGCCTTAGTCTTGGGGGTCTCACCAGGTTCTATCAATCAGATCAGTAAGCCTGGTCTTTTTTTTAATTATTTTGAGTTTGCTCCACATTGTTCTACCACTCTATCCAGGGTCTCCTGCACTGATCCCCCTCCGAGTGGCTGACAGTGGTGGCCGGGCACCGTCTAGTGCCTCTGGTCTCATGGTCATACAGGCTGAGGGTTGCATGGTCCCCTAGTCCCTTTGACTGATTGTTATTATGACACACACCTTTGTTGATTTTAAACCATGCAGTAGCCCCTTGCTCTGTTTGAACAACAGCCTCTCAGTCTGTGTACAGGTTCTGCATGAGCCCAATGAAGGGTTCTGGGATTCCCGTCCTTCACTGTGTTACTCATAATTTACGAGGATCTACACACCGAATGCTTTTGCGTGCTCAGTAAGGTATAGGGAAACAGCTTTCTTGCATTCTCTACCTTCAGCCAAGATCCATCTGGTATCAGCAACATCATCCTTCATTCCACGTCCTTTTCTGAATCCAGCTTGAATTTCTGGCAGTTCCCTGTTGATGTACTGCTGCAACCAGTTTTTAATTACCCTTAGGAGCTCTGGTGGCACAGTGCCTAAGGCATATGACTGCTAACCAGAAGGCTGTTGGTTCAAACCCACCAGCCGCTACCCAGAAGGAAGATTGGGTAATCTACTTCCATAGTGATAACCGCTTCGGAAACCCAAGGGGGGTTGCTATGAGTCAGGACTGACTTGACAGCAGTGAGTTTGGTTTTTGTTAAGCAAAATTTGACTTACACGTGATATTAATGATACTGTTCAATAATTCCACGTTCTGTCGGATCACCTTTCTTTGATGCTGGCACACATATGGATCTCTTCCAGTTGGTTGGCCAGGTAGCTGTCTTCCAGATCTCTTGCCATAGATAAGTGATCGTTTCCAGCACTACATCCGTTTGTTGAAACATTTGATTGTATTCTGTCGATTCCTGGAGGCTTGGCTTTTGCCAGTGCCTTCAGTGCAGCTTGAACTTCGTCCTTCAGTACCCTCGGTTCTTCACAGCAGCACTGAGGAGGAAGACAGAGAGGTACCCAAGAGATCCAACAAAAATCAATCCTCTTACGTATAGAATACTGTGTTGTCAGTGATAACAGACATTAATCTACAGGTTAATAGATAGGTAGGCAGGCTGAACAATCAGGTGTGTCTAGGCAAAAAGGAACATACCTATGACCATATACAAGGTTGGCAGATGATGTTTGTACATATGTATTTGTATGAGCTATAAGAATGTCCAACTATGTAATAGCGCCAACAAGGGGCAAAGTTAGGATAACTTTTTGACCACAGCCAACCACCCCAAGGGAGTGAGTAGTTGGACCTGTAGGCTCAGGACCATTGTTGTAACAGACATTAAGCTCAACTGGCATAACACACTACACAAAAACATTGTTCCACATCCTGCTTTGGTGAGCAGCAACTAGGGTCTTAAAAGCTTGGAAGTGGCCATTTAGATGCAACGATGGATCTCTCCTCGTCCAGAGCAAAGAAGAATGAAGAAAACCAAAGATGCATGGAAACAATTAGTCCAAAGGACTGGTAGGTGACCCTCAGCCTAAATCACCATGAGACCAGAGGCACTAGATGGTGCCTGGCTACCACTGTCAACCACTCAGAGGGGGATCAGTGCAGGAGATCCTGGGTGGAGCGGGAGAACACTGGAACAAAACTCAAAATAATAAAAAGACCAGGTTTACTGGTCTGATAGAGTCTGGTGAGACCCCTGAGACTAAGGCCCCTAGTTCTCCTTCAGGTCTGGAACTGAACACACTCCCACAGCTTCCATCCAAACAACAGACAGGCACATAGTGTGAACATTTCCATCAGGCAGACATGCTGCTTGGAGCGATCAGTCTGGGAGAACAGAAGGGCAGTGCACAGGGAGACAGCTTGGGGAGGGGAATGCATGGAGGGAAGGACCCAGGGAAGAGGTAAGTACACGGAACAAGTGGGAAGAGAGCTGTTATGTTGTGGGGAAGTGCAGTCAGTGCTGTGAAACCAAATGTATATGAACTGCTGTATGGAAAAGGAATTTGCTCTCTAAACTGTCACCCAAATCACAATAAAATTAAAAAAAAAAAAAAAGGAGACATGGGTTCGTGATCCTCTGCTGTCTCCTGAACGTGGACCGTTCGTTTTGGTGCAATGACTCCTTTTTTTCTGATGCTTCCTGCATCGTTGAGTGCTTTGCACATCAAGTCCATCAGTGTTGCCACCCGAGGCTTGAACGTTCCTCCCTCTCGGTTTTCTAGCTCCAGGTCTCGCACCTTCTGTTACAGCAGGGCTTTGTCTTCTTTAGCTCCTCTGCACTTAAGAGCAGGTTTCAGTGTCTCTCCTGACACCCATTTTGGTCTTGTCTTTCTTGGACTTTTTGATGAACTTCGGCTGTTTCAGCACATGGTGTTCTTGATGTTGTCCCACTGCTTGTCTTCTCCTTGATCATTAGTGTTCAACATGTCAAATCTATTCTTGAGATAGTCTCTAAATCAGGGGAGATGTACTCAAGGTCATATTTTGGCTTTCATGGACTTGGTTTCATTTTCTTCAACTTGAACTTGTATATGAGCAATTGATGGTCTGCTCTACAAGATAACTGAGTTTCTTCCTTGTCTCTTATCACAGCTGTAGTTTGATTCCTAATGTCTGTGTACTCTGACTGGCAAGATCCACATGTAGCATTGCTGTCCATGTTGTTAAGAAGAGGTATTTGAAATGAGTTAGTCTTTGGTCTTGCAAAATTCTGCCATGTGGCCTTCAGCATCGTTTCTTTCACCAAGGCTGTACTTGCCAACTACCGATCCTTTGTGTCCATCTTTTGCATTCCAATCACCAATAATTACCATCATATCTTGATTGCGTGTTGATGAATTTCAGACTGCAGAAGTTGATAAAAACCTTTCTTTGACATTAGTGGTTGGTGCATAAATCTGAATAACAATTGTGTTAGCTGGTCTTCTTTGTAGACATGTAGATATTATCCTATCACTGACAGTGTTGTACTTCAGGACAGGTCTTCAAATGTTCTTTTGGATGAGGAATGTGATGCCATTTCTCTTCAATTTGTCATTCCCCGCATAGAAGACCATATGATTATCCAGTTCAAAATGGCCAATTCAGTCCATTTCAGTTCACTAATGCCTCATTCGTTGCCATGGAGTCAATTTTGACTCATAGTGACCCCTCCTTGGGTTTCCAAGGTGATACCATTACGGAAGTAGATTGTCCAGTCTTCTTGCAAGGAGTGGCTCATGAGTTTGAACCATCAACCTTCTGGTTAGCAGTCAGATGCCTTAGGCACTACGCCACCAGAGCTCCCAGTGTTTATGCATTTCATTTCATTTTGGACAACTTCTAATTTTCCTAGATTCATACTTTGTACATTCTTTGTTCTAATTATGAATGAGTAGTTGCAGCTGTTTCTTCTCAGATCAAGTTATGCCACCATAACAAATAGAGGCCCTGAAAGCCTCACTCCATCCACATCATTTAGGTCAGCTCTACTTTGACAAGGCAGCTCCTCCCCGGTTGTACTTGAGTGCCTTCCGGCCTGAGGGGCTCATCTTCCAGCACTGCATCAGACAGTGTTCGACCACGGCCCGTAAGGTTTTCACTGAGCAAGTTTGTCTGAAGTAGAATGCCAAGTTCTTCTTCCCAGTCGATCTCAGTCCAGAGACTCCACTGAAACCTGTCCACTATGGGTGACCCTTCTAGGATTTGAAACACATTGGCATAGCCTCCAGCTTCACAGCAGCATGCCAGCCACCACAGTCCGACACGCCAACAGCCTCTCAGATGGTGGTGGTCTCCTGTAGCCACCACGGTCCAACACGCCGACAGCCTCTCAGATGGTGGTGGTCTCCTGTAGTCCTGTAGCCACCATGGTCCAACACGCCGACAGCCTCTCAGATGGTGGTGGTCTCCTGTAGCCACCACGGTCCAACACGCCAACAGCCTCTCAGATGGTGGTGGTCTCCTGTAGCCACCACAGTCTGACACGCTGACAGACTGATGGACAGGTGGTGGTCTCCCGTGACAGAACGCCTGAAGTTGTCAGTGGCCGTGTTGAAATAGAAAGTCACTTTGTCAGTCATGTGTGGTGTTCACGTCTCTTCTGTCTGCTCTGGTCCACGTGGAGGGACAGGAAGCGTTTAGACTGAACTTCTGGGGCCTTTTTCCAGGGCACAGCCTTGTGGTAGTGTCTTACCAACAGGTGATTGCTGTAGTCTAGAACCTTCATTATGTTTCAACTCCTGAAATAACTGTTCCTGGAAAAGAAATAAGAGTTTAAATGTATTGGCAAGTGTCTCAATCCAGGGAAAGGTCTTATTCTCTAAAATTTCCTCAGTCCCCAGCACGCCACCCTCAGCACATGCACTCCGCCTCTGCTTCCTACTGACTCTGGGCAATGCAGTCCTCCTTGCGGGGTGCCACTTGGCCTGGTTCTAGTGAGGCCCCAGAGAAGATGCAACAGCCCCAGCCTCAGCCCATGGGGTGGCAAGCCGGGGCTGCGTCCACCAGCTGTCTCTGCAGCTCTTGCGTCCCGGGAGCCATCCAACCTCTCGGGGACAGTTGAGAGACTGCAGGGGCATCCCTCCCACTGTGCTTTTGTTCCTGGGTGGCACACACCAGGTGAGCCTGCCCTGTCCTTGTCTGAACAGGACTGCGTGAGCCAGCGGGACTCAGAGCACCCCCTGGGGTGGGGGCATTCAGACTCAGGTGGGATGACAGCTGCTGACGTGAAGAGGCCTGTGAAGTCAGCCCCAAAAGAGGCCAAGGAGCCCAGGAAGGTAACTGCCCCTGTCTCACTCGCAGCAGGCCCCGGGTGGGTGGGGACCCAGGGGACGGCCTGGCCTGTGAAGGCAGCCTGAAATGAGGCCAAGGGGCCCAGGAAGGTGACAGTGTGGGTCTCGCACCTGGACAGGCAGCCCTAAGGTGGGCGGGTGGGCCTGGGGGATGGACTTGGACTCCCAAGAGCCAGCTGTCCAAAATCAGAGGCCAGGAAAAGCTGTTTTCCCTCTACATCAGGCCTCTGAGGTCTAAGAGACGTGCAGGGAGAGTATGGCGCATAAGCCAGCAGCTAGGGGGTGTCCTGTGTGGGCACACGTGGCCACCCCAGACTGCACAGACCACGTTTCTAGTCCCTGGCGGGTTCTGTCCTGTTTCTTGTCGGCCTGCCCCACAGGTGACTGCCCTTCTGGCTTTTACCCATTGGTTGGTTCCGCATGTTCCTGAACTTCTCACAAAGACGTCAGGTAGCAGTGGTTCCTCACCTTGTCCTCAGGCCCCATGGTTTGACTTAACCTTGCTCCCAGTAACTGATGTTTGAGTGGTGCTTGTTTGGGTCTCCTATCAGTAGAGCCATGGGAGCGGCCCTGTCCCAGCTGAGGGGCCAGCCTGCCATGTCCCACTGCTGGGAGTGGCATCGCTGGACCACAGGTGAGGTGCCTGAGCAGCTGCAGACCTGTCCCTGAGCAGCCCACCATTCACACCCCCAGCACCGGGGGGGCGTGCCAGCTGCCCTGCAGCTCCGCCAGGACAGAGTGGGCTCTTCTCTGGGGTCCTGACCAGCAGTCTGTTCAACAGTTTGACCTGTGTGTCGGCCATTCTCCTCTCGTTCTCTCTCCCTCTCCCTCTCCCTCACTGCCCCTCCCCCTCTCCCTCTCTCTCTCCCTCCCTCTCCCCCTCCCCCTCTCTCTCTCCCTCTCCCTCTCCCTCTCTCGCTCTCTCGCCCTCTCTCTCTCTATCTCCCTCTCTCCCTCCTTCTCTCCCTCTCTCCCTCTCTCTCTCTCGCTCCCTCTCCCTCTCTCGCTCTCGCTCTCTCTCCCTCTCTCTCTATATGTATATACATACATACATATATATATATTTTTTTAATTGTGATTTGGGTGAAAGTTCACAGAGGAACTTCACTTTCTATACAATAGCTCATACACATTGTAACACGATGTAATAGCTCTCTTCCCACTTCCTCCCTGTGGCTGCCTTTTCCCTGTGTCCTTCTTTCCTGTGTATTCCTGCCCTCAGAGCTGTCTCCTTGTGCATACGCTGCCCTTCACATGTCCCATGATTGGTCATTCTAAGACATGTACCTGCCTGCTGTAATTGTTCACCTTGTAGGTCTGTCTGTTGTTTGGCTGGAAGCCTCGGTAGTGAGTTCAGTTCAAGGCCTTAAGGGTGACTCGGGGCCATAGTCTCGGGTTTGTTTCACCAGGCTCTATTATCCATCTTTCTTGTGTAACCAGTGTCTTGGAAATGAAAAACTAAATCTACTGCCATGGAGTCTATGCCAACTCAAAGTGGGTGCCCTTATACGACAGAGTAAAATTACCCTACAGGGTCTCCAAGGCTGTCAATCCTTATGGAAGCAAAGCCCAAACCACATCCATTGCTGTGGAGTCCATTCTGACCAAGGAGTGGCTAGTGGGTTTGAACCTCCAACCTTTTGTTAGCAGCCCAGTGCTTTAACCACAGCACCACCAGAGCATTCTTGGGAATAAACACAGATTTAATGCAGGTTGTGCAGATTTGGGAGGGAAAACTCAGCTCTTGCGTAGACGTGAAACCTGCAGACCACTGCCGAGCTCCCAGGCCAGGTCACCCTCCCTCGGTGACCCACGGGGATCAGGGTGAAGAGTGTGCCACAGGGGCTGGGTTTGGCTTCTCACTAGTTTCTGGTGGCACTGGCAGGAAATGATGTGCAATGTGGGAAGAAAACTGCAGATCTGAGCTGTTGGCTCAGCAGGGGACACAGGGCGCAGGGGCTCTGATCTGCAGGCGCCCCACCCGACCTTCCTGCTTCCCCTGCCACGCCTTGTCTGCGCGGGTGTGGCACGGGGAAGCCTGATGGCGCTCAATTCTGCTGGTCCATGCCCAGAGCACCGAGTCCTGGTTCTCTCGCTGGCTGCCCGGCAAGAAGAAGACAGAGGCTTATTTACCAGATGACAAAAACAAGTCGGTGAGTGAGGCACATTGGGGTGCATGTGGCTGCCTGCCCACTGTGGGGACGACAGCTCAGGTCCACGCAGGTCTGAGGGGAGGTTGTGGCAGGTTTTCAAGCATCACAATGAACCAGGCTCTAATTCTGCTTTCCTCCTGTGCACAAAGCTCTCTTTCACTGTTTTTAATCTCACAGATCGTTTGGGATGAAAAGAAGAACAAGTGGGTGAATTTAAATGAACCGGAAGAGGAGGTAAGCTGTCATCACAGGCATTGGCTGGAACTGGGAGGAAAAAAACGAACTCACTGCCGTTGAGTTGGACCCAACTTATAGCAACCCCTCCTTGGGTTTCCGAGGCAGTATCACTACAGAAGTAGATGGCCCAACCTTCCTTCCAAGGAGTGGGTTTGAACTGCCAGCCTAAGAACTGAGAGGGGCAGCTCCTTTAAACATGCAGCCTTTGGGCTGTCAGGGACTGGCTCCTACCCGCAGAATGTTCCAGTGGGTTCCAAGGAGTGGACTTGTGAGGCTCTCTTCCCTTTGCAGAAGAAGGCTCCGCCCCCACCTCCTACGGCATTTCCCAAGGCTGCTCACACTGCCCCTCCTGGCGCTGGCGGCACCCCCAGAGCCGCCGTGAACGTGTTCTCTAGAAAAGCAGGTAACGGAGTCGCCCAGAGTGGGTGGGTCAGATTGCAGCAGCTGCAGTGTGTGTACGGGCTCGTTTTCCAGGCGGCGAGAGGCTGCCGGGGGTTGGAAGCCGAGCCCGGGGTGAGGCAAGTCTGCTTGGCAGCCCCCGTGCTTTCCTCGGCAGCCCCGGCTCCTGCTGAGCAGGCCCTGGTACCAGATGCGTGCGCCTCCCCGGCGCCCCCGTCGGCCAGCCATCGAGGTGCAGCTACGTGCTGTTGGGGCCGCCGACAGCGGTTCCTCGTGATGTTTGTGGCCTGAGTCTGGCCCCTCTCTCCCTGCAGCTGGCACCAGAGCGCGCTATGTGGACGTTTTGAACCCGAGCGGGGCCACGCGGACTGAACCTGCCCTCGCGCCAGCGGAGTTCTTTGCTCCACTTGCCCCACTGCCGATCCCTGCGCCCTTGTTTGTCCCGGGCCCAGGTGGGCTGCCTGGGCACAGGCCCCTCTGTGAGAGCCTCCGGCCCGTGGGCCCTCTGAGGGCCGCCTGCAGGGGCCAGGGGTTGCATGTGCCTCTGGCTTCCTTGTCCCCCTCCCTTTTGTGGGTGCACAGGAGACAGCTCTTCCTTGTACAGTTTTTAAAATGAAGCCCTGGGACATTTACGGGAGAGTGACAGCTGACGGCCCATCTCGTTCACAGATACTGAGGAACCCCAGCCTGCAGGAGCAGGGGATCCGACTGGGCAGTTGCCGGCCGGGGGGCCAGGCAGGCTAGAGCCCACCTTGGAGACCAAGGTGAGCGGCGTGGGAAAGGGGCAGCACACGCTGGGGATGGGCCCCACACCAGGTGAGGGGTCCCGCGGTTTAGCAAGGGCTCTCCATCTCACCTGGACGTGTGTTTCCTGTTGGGCTCTTGGAAAGTTCGAAACAACGGCCGTTGGTGTGCTATGCAGCGCCTCATCTCGTAGAAGTCATAGTGAAGATTTTTTTGAAATGTTTTAAACTGCTGCGGCATCAGGGAAATGGCTTTAGAGGCTCTCTGGAGGCAGATACACTTGCGTGATGCTTGGTTTTCTAGTCGCTGCTTTTTAAGTTTGGGGACATGTCTTACCCTCTCTGAGCCTCAGTTTCCTCTGTAGAATGGGACTGACAGGTGGCCCGGCTTTGGGGGGACCAGGCTCCTCGTGCCATCGAGAGCTGAGCCTGGCGAGCGTGGGCTGCCTGGGGGAGGCACTGCTCTGTGCCTCATGGGCTGGGGCCTGCTTACCACCGTGTTTTCCGTTTCTCTTTGCAGATTGTGAACTCTGGTGCTGTGCTCCCGCCCTGCGGCGTGGACGCGTCTCCAGGAGGAGAGGTAAGGGGCCCTCTTGAGCCTCAGTCAGCCTGTCCTAGGTCCAGGACAGGCCCCCTTGCTAACGAGTAGGAAAAGGGAGCTTAGGGCCTGTCCAGAACTCGGAACATGTTGTTACTGTGTCCTCGGGGCCCCAGAGGGCAGGACTTGAGTTCCCATCCATGTGCACCCTCTCCCCCGGGTACAGCATCTTAATGATCTCTCACTTGCCCAGGGCACAGGGTGAAATAGGTGTAGTCTGGCGAGGGGCCCAGACCCTCGCCCCTGCCCACACTAAGAGCTGTGCTTTCGTCAAACTCTGTGTGCGCGTGGGAGCGCTCAGCTAGCTCCAGCTTCGTGCCCTGTCGCTGTTCTAGTGGCATCCCAGAGCCTTCTGAGACTGGCCCTGCTGCTGGGCGTGGTCTGAGCGTCTGTGTGTTCTTGCTGTTTTGCAGCTTTCACGCTGTAGCTCAGTGAGCTCGCTGTCACGGGAAGTCAGCCAGCACTTCCACCAGGTACTTGCGGCTGGCGCTTTCTGCTAACACCTGAGTCCTCGCGTCGTCTTTTCTTTCCTTCTTGAGTCCTGAATATTTGTGGCCGTGCCCAACATGACTAACGCCACTGCTGTCATGCTCAGAGGTCCTGGGGGCCGTGTGCCCTGTCCAGACAACTGGCCAGCAGACTGGCCGGGGGCTCATGAGGGTGGCGGTTGCTCTGCCCCTTTGGGCAGCCTCTCTGGCTGAGACGTGTCAGAGCTTGTGGGCCTGCGGGCTCCTCTGGAGGGAAGGGCCCTGCTCTCTGACCCAGGTCGTGGGGGCGGTTCTGCCAGGGAGAGCGTGGCCCTAGTCTTGCTGCGAAACAAGGGGCCCCTCATCTGCTGTGTAGCTGTGTAGGTGACGGGCTGCTCAGAAGCTAGGGAGACACTGGTTGTGTGTTGAGTGCAGGGCTCGACCTGCAGGACTGAGAGGCTGTACCCTGGCAGCTGCTCACGTAGTAGGTGGCCCCTCGGCAAGCGCACCGTGGTCCTGCGGGTGCAGCACTGCCCTTGACCGCTCGCTGCCTTCCCTGCAGCCCCTCAGACACTGAAGCATCACCCCAGCACTGCTCTCCTGAAAGTGCTTGTCGGAAATGGGGTCTCAGGTTTGCAGAGGGGACAGAAACTAGGGGTAGTCCTGCCTCACAGACTGACTCCTGTGTGCTTCCCAGGTGCCTGGCGACCAGCCCCCTGTTGGGGGTCCTCCGGGGGGCGTTGTGCCCTTCTACAACCCCGCCCAGTTTGCACAAGTAAGTGACAGCCTGCTGGGGGGTGGAGACACCCCCACACACACTTGGGTACTTACCGTCTTAACTGACCTCTGTTCCCGGGTCTGCTGCCACCTGAGGTGTAAGGGTCGCTGCTGTGGGGGGTTTGCTGTCAGCAGCTGTCAGATCCCCTCCCCTGGGGTTCCACTCGCTTTCTTAGTCAGGGGGCTACAGCTGCAGGAGCGAAGCCCCACAGGCTGGTCCGAGACCTGCACCAGGCCCTCTGCACTCACCCCTCCTCCTCCCTGAGCATATGCTCCCCACCCCCACCCCGGGTCTCCAGTGAGGGCTGTGTGCTTCTCCACAATCAGCTTAGGCAGTTTCTTCAGGGCCCCCCGACCCCACCAGACACTCCCTACTCCACGTGCCCCCAGACTTACACTCACCACTTGGATGTCTGTGTGAACACTTCCCATGGCCGGCCCCGTGCATCTGTGTGAACATGGCCCATGGCCGACCCCGTGCGTCTGCGTGAACACGGCTCACGGCCGTCCCTGAGCTCACTGGGACCCCTGAAGGCTCTCTGCTTTCTTGCTGAGCCTTCATCTTTAAATTTGCTGTGGCCGAGTCACCACATGCCCTGTGGAGCCGGGAGCCCTTCCCATGGTGCCCACACCCTCCCCGCCCACGGTGGGCCCCTGCCCCCAGAACCCTTCTCATTCTTTTCTCGTCCCTGGCAGCTCCTTGATAACAGTGGGCAGGGCTTGGTCTCAGAGCCCTTCCACTCTTTGGGACCTGTGTTCTGCCCCTTGCTTGGGTGGAAGTCCCAGAATGGACGGTGGGTCCTGGGTTCTGATTCCGCTGTTGTGTGGGGAAGCCAGCCCTGAGTCTGTGCCTGTCGGCTTCTGCGCTCCCCTGGGCACGGCAGGTCCTCTCTGCCCTTCCGGCCCGGCCCGCCACCTGCTGGCCCTTGCGCCGTCGAGTGGAGAACATTCCTCCATGCCTGCACTGCTCTCAGCCCCTTCTCTCTCCTCCCTTCAGCCTCTTGCCCATTGAGAACAGGTTGGCTAGCAGCGTTTGGGGAGCTGAGTGAGGAACAGCTCTCGGGAAGGGGCCTTAGCAGAGCTCCATCTGACCCTGTTGCCATGGTGCAGACCCTGGTCTCAGCCACCCAGGACCCTGTCTTGTTCACTCTGCCCTGCTGAGGGCCTGTGCCTCTCGGGCTATCTGCGAGACACAGGGTGCTTCAGGGCCATGTCTGCCGCCTCTTCAGCCTTGGGATTTGGGGGTTCTGCTCTCCTGTCTTCTTTACCCTGGTAAAGGCAGAGGTTCTGGGGAGAGTAAGAGCAGTGCCTGTGTCAGTGGTTGTCTGCCCCCACGATGCCCTGCGTCCCCCAGGAGCAGGCCAGGCCACGGCCCCGCTGGAGTGTCGACGGCCTGGCAGCCAGGCACAGACTGCGGAAGCCTGCTGTGCTTTGAAGGCTCTGTGGGCCTCAGAGGGAATGCCAGGGTTTCAGGCTGCTAGCCTAGGCTTTTAGAAATAAGCAGAAATGCCCACTTATTTGTGTAAAAAGGCCTGACTTGTTTCCTTACACAGATCATAGGCAATCAGAGGTCACTGGCCAGCCCTGGGGGGAGAGTAGGCTGGGGAAAGTCAAGGCCATTCATTTTGTTTCAGGTCTCTGCTGCTGCTGGAAGTTCAAGGATGGGGAGGATGGGCCAGAGGAAGCACCTGGCGTTGAACTAGGTCCTCTGCTTTGGATCGGCGTTTGGACCCCTGAGAAATTCTCTTCACCGAGGACTCGGGGAACTGCTGCTGGCCTCGTGTGCCTGGGACACCACCGTGGCTCAGAGCAGCGTCCTGGCCCGTTGTCCCGAACGCCTGCCAGAGTTCATTCCTGTTTCCTTGCTGATCCTGGAAAGAAGGAGCGAATCCTCTCAGAGTCTCTCACCTACGAGAATGATTTAAGGATGCAACGTTCCTAGTCACTCAAGAGCAATCTAAGGATGTAATCTTGTTAATCGTTTAAGGGTGTCACATTGTGTGGTGCTGGGGAGCTACTGCTGCTGGCAAGAAGTGCCTTCTGGAGCCGACGGCGGTTCTGCCCTCGCCAGCCCGCCCTCCTCGGGTGGCGCACAGAGTGACGGGCGCGGGAGGCAGGGGCCCCGCTGCCGGATCCGCCCCTCTGCCCCTGGAGGCGGAGGGGAGGGCCTGGCACTTCTGTCCATTCGCGAGCCTGCTGTGGCTCCCCGGTGTCTGGAGGACAGGGAGGAGCCGACGTGGCTGGTTACTCAGCTGACTGCCGAGTGCTGCTGGTCCCTGAGGGCCCTTCTCCCGGCAGCAGGGCCCTTCCAGCTGTACCTGCTCTCCCATGGCCTCTGGCAGGGCCACTCACCAGCCCCGAGCGCCAGCCATGCCGAATTCGGGTTCTGAAGGTGACTGGCAAGCTCAGATATCGGGGTCTCTAGCTGATATAACTGAATCCACTGTTGAAACTGTGACTGTCTTGCATCTGCGTGGAGGCCCGTTGAGGGCGTGAGTGGAAGTGGCTGAAAACCCTTTCTTGAACGAAGCTCTGAAACCAAACATCTCTGCCCCTGAGGTTTCCCACACGGCGATCTTACGTAGCTGAGATACATCTGACTGACCCACTGCCTCCGCTGCAGAGGCGTCCCTTGGGGACTCAGCTGCACATTTACACGGTTAGTAGGTGGCCGTTCCCGTAGTTCAGCTCGGTACCGTGAGTGTGGAGGGTGTGTGAACGGGCACAGTGCAGGCCCTCCCGCTGTCCTGGCTTGCTGGATCACCCGGGAGAGACCCAGGACGCTGCAGTGTCACAGTCTGTGACGGGCTGCCTTGTCCCCGGAACTGTCGAGCGGGCAGTCTCATGTGGGCTGTGTCCCCTCATCCCTGCCGATGGTCCTCTGTAGACTGCCAGTCACTTTCCACTGTAGACGCTTCCTCCCAGGCCAGGCCCAGGCGGGAGCTGCTATTTTTCCTAAATGCAAATTGTTACGATGCAGATTGTTAACTAAACTATTTTGCTCTCACACTTTCGTGTTTGATTTCCTTTTGTTTATTGGAAGCAAGGGAGGGCGGGGCCTTCCACCACTTTGGAGTTGTCCTGGGCCACTGCCTGGGCCTTCCCCTGAGGCCAGAGCAGCTGCGCTGGGCCCTCGGGTTCCTTCCCCGAGGGTGGCCGGTGGCTGCCACCCCGCCCCTCCAACAGGGAGCCGCGTGCCCCGCAGGTCCTGCCCGCGGGACTCCCGCCGCAGGCGCCTCCGCGCTGCGCCCCGCGCCGCGGTCCTCCGGCCACCAGGGGCCGCTGCGGCGGGATCGGGGCCGTCTGTCCACCCGCCTGTCCGCTGGCGTCGGTTGCCAGGGAGCGCGGAGGCCGGGGCTGCGGGGCGGCGCCCGGGGGTAACGCGGCCGGGACGAGGGCGGGGAAGGGGTGCCGGGTCACGGGCGGAGGGCTGGGAGGGGGGCGGCGCTGAAATGTGGGGTCACGGCCGGGGGACGCGGAGGACTGTAGGGTCACGGCCGGGGAGGGCACGGCGTCACGAGCGCAGATGCAGGCGCGGCCGGGGGCAGGGGTGCGCGGCCGGGACTGGGCTCCCCGCTGCGGCTCCGCCACGGCCTTGCCGGGACCGGGCCGGACTCGGAGCGGCTTCCACTGGGGACCGCGCCCAAGGTCGCCCGGCTGTGGGAGGGGCCTGAGACAGGCGATGCTGGCGGGCGCGCAGGTGGGGCTGCGGGGCCCCCTGGCGGAGGGGCCCGAGATGGGGTTGGCTCCTTGGCCTTCACCTTGGGTCCGGGAATTCTCACCTGCCCACGCGCAGCCCTGAGTGGGCTTCCTCATCTGGCAGGAAGCAGCGCCCAGGACCCCCGCCTGTGGGCCCTTCCTGGACTCTGGCTGCCCGCTTCTCGCCTGAGGTCACTCCCGCCCCGCGGTCCTTGTGGAAGGAGCTCCATGGAGTCCCAGCCACTCACTCCCCCCTCAGGTGTCTGTAAGTGACCCAGCACTAAAGTGGACCCAGCCATGCAGCCGACCCTGGCCCTCTGGGACCACCCCAGGCTGGAGCAGAAGCTGTCCCCACCACTTCCCTCTGTGGCCTGCCTGCTGACCCCTGTCTGTACATCCCTGACACCGGGTGTCAGCCTGGCTGGCGGCCCCCCAGGGGGGCTGGGCCGCCCAGGTGCGTGAGCTCTGGCAGGATGCCATCCACCTCGGTGACCCTGCCCCACACAGAGGGGCCGCCACAGCCCGGAGGCACCATGCTCAAGGGGCAACTTCTGCCCGGGGACAAAGGAGCCCCTCCCCTGCAAGGGGCTCCCGAGAAGAGCCCTCTCAGCTCACAGGCCGTGGCAAAGCCCCTCACCCCAACGCCACCTGCCAGGCCCAGGCTGGAGCGTGCCCTGTCCCTGGACGAAAAGGGCTGGAGGCGGCGGCGCTTCCGGGCCAGCCGAGAGGATCTGGCCAACCAGGACAAGGCTGAGCCCTGCACTGATGCCCCCGGGGCCCCCACCTGCAGCAGCTCGCCGCCCTGCCTGAGCACCTCCTTACAGGAGATCCCCAAGTCCCCCCGGGCCCCAGGCAGCCCTTCCTCGTGGGGGAACTGTCTGTCAGGCGTGATCAGCACGTCCCTGGACCTGCTGCAGAGAGAGACTGCCGCCACGGGGAGCACCCCTAGGCTGGCCGGCGTGCTTCCCCCCCGCCCGCTGCCCGCCATGGACCTGAACGTCTCCTCGGACTCGCTGAGGGCAGCCAACAAGGCGGACCCCGAGCATGAGGATTTCCGGCACCGTGTGCAGAAGAAGCTGGTCCGAGCTCACAGCAGCCTGGGCCCCAGCCGGCCCCGCAGCCCCCTGGCCTGCGACAGCTGCTCCCTGCGCTCGGCCAAGTCCTCCTTCAGCCTCCTGGCGCCCATCCGTGCCAAGGACGTCCGAAGCAGGTAGGGCCCCAGGAGGGAGGGTCACCTACGGCCTTCCTCTGTCGCTCAGAAGCAAGCCCCCCGAGAACCACAGGCATGTGCTCAGGAAGTGTGTGTCACGTGTGTCGATAGAGTCCCAGCCCCAGCTCCTTTGCAGACCTGACACCCGCTCCAGTTGCACCTTTCCAGAACGTTTTCTGTGCATCTCAGTATGGCTCTCACGTGTGGTGTACGTGGAGTGTGGTGTGGGCTTGTCCGGGGGCTGGCTAGGTGAGATCGCACGATGCCTCCCGCTCTGGGTCTCTCACGGTCACTCTCAGCAGCTTCTCCGTCACTTTGTATACACCTGCCCTCCGTTCGGCCGTGTGCTGGGCTGTGCGTGCTGCACCCTTGCTGAGCCCTGGGCTAACCCCGGCGTTCCGGGGGGGTTCCCCTCGCTGCTGGGAACCTTACCCCGCCTCCAGCTCTCTCCAGGGTGAAGCCTGCCCGTGGCCACCCGCCGGCAGGCAGGGGGGGTGGGGACGCTGGAAGCCTAGACCCTGCCTGCCTGGCCCTGGGCTCCTCCTCCCACCCCCAGGTGCAGCCTCAGGCCCCTTAGTGTCCTGAACCTGGCTGGGCGGGAGATTTGGGGCCCACTTCAGGACACCCTCCTGCCCCGCTCTCCTGGGCCAGAGCCCTGGCTTCAGGGGTTCCGGGGAGTTGTCGAAAACGGCTTGTCTAAGCCATCGCTCTCCTCCCAAGCCTCGGCCCCTACCTGAGCCTGCCCTGGGCTTGTCCTGAAGGGCTGCCCCCGAGAGCCCCTCCACCCTCCTGCTCGTCCCTCCCTACAGCCCGTGTCTGAGCATATGGCTGGGCATGCTGGGCATGCTGTGGCTCCTGTACACAGCTGCCTCTGACGGGGCTCGGTGGGCTGTCTGGAAGCACATACCTGGCCATGGCCCTGTCCCCACCCTCAGTGAATCTTCCCCATGTCACACCTACCTCGCCCTGCAGGCCTGACCCTGGCACACGCCGAGCCAGGGTTGGGTGTTGAGAAGAGACAGAAGGTGTGAGGTGGCCACCGGGTTGGTTTCCTGCAGCTGCTATAGCCATGGACACCCACCAGGGGGCTTAAAAAAAAAAAACCCAACCAAACCCACCACCATCAAGTTGATTCCAACTCACGGTGACTCCCATTGGGTTTCCGAGGTGGTAAATCTTCACGAAAGTAGATTGTCGGTCTTTCTTCCTCAAAGTGGCTGGTAGGTTTGAACTGCCCACCTTCTGGTTAGCAGTCAAATGCTTTAGGCACTGCACTGACAGTGAGAATTCATTTTCTGAGCCGACGGGCAAACCCACGTGGGGTGGGGCCGACTTCCCTCCAGAGGCTTGGGGGAGGGTCCTTCCAGGTCTCTCCCAGCTGCTGGTGTCTCCAGGTGCCCTAGGCTCATGACTGCATCACTCTAGTCTCTGTCCAGTCGTGTGGCCGCCTTCTGTGTATCCCAGGGCCATCCACAGGATCCCAGGTGACCTCACCTCCAGACCCTTCACTTAGTCACATCTGCAAGGAGCCATCTCCCAACAAGGTGCTAGACACAGGTTCCGAAGTCAGGATGCAGCCGTATCTTCATACCTTTTGGGGCCACCTATAGCCCACTGGGTTCTCAAAGAGAGCCCCCTGCCCTGGCCAGCTGACCAGGTGGAACGCATCTTTGACTCTCCCCCTCCAACCCTCCAGAAGCCCCCTGCACCTGGAGGGGCCAGTGCTCCCCAGTGGCCCAGATGGGCCCTTCGTGTTTTGTTTGTTAAATGAGGCTTTTTCTAAAGAGCAGACTTGTGGATTTGGAGATGTGCGTGTGGTCGGTGCAGGTACCCGGACGGGCAGGGTGAGGGGCTCAGACGGCCAGCCAGTTCAATGGGGGGATCCTGACACACCTTCCAGCCTTCAGTTTGTCCCTGAGCGGGGCAGGACCCGCACTCTGCACACTTGTTAGACTTTGTGGGCCGTGTGGTCGATGCAGGTACCCTGACGGGCAGGGTGAGGGGCTCAGACGGCCAGGCAGTTCAACGGGGGGATCCTGACGCACCTTCCAACCTTCAGTTTGTCCCTGAGCAGGGCAGGACCCGCACTCTGCACACTCGTTAGGCTTTGGGGGCCGTGTGGTCTGCCACATGCACCCAGCCCTACCCTCCTAGCCCCCGCAGCCCTAGATAACATGCCCACAGAGAGCATGACACTGTGCTCCCACGGAATGCTACTCAGGAATCCGAGATGGGAATCTGTGCCGGCAGACCGCGTCTTACTGCCTATGCTTTGTCGCACTTCACAGACACTGCACTTGTTACACATCGGAGGCCTGGGACAGCCCTGCGTTGAGCAGGCTACCCACACGTGTTCCAACAGCGTGTGCTCGCTTCGTGTCTCTGTGTCACATTTTGGTCACTCTCACAGTATTTCAAATGTATTTATCATGCCATCGCACACGTCACAAAGTGTAACCCTAACTTTCCTATTCACCGGGCAACTGGGAAATGCCCGTCGCTCACTGTAGTGCAGTGCTCACTATAGTGCAGCGCTCTGGGATGGAACCAGCAACGTCTGCATAAATGACTGTCACAAAACTCACGACAGAAGAAAAAAGGAGACCAGGAAGCACAGAGCTTCTTACCCAAAATCGGGATACTGGCCCTGTGACCACTTCCAGCGAAGTACGGACATGGATTGATGGGAGGGGGCACTGCTGAGGGCAGCCGAGGAGCAGGGGTGGGTGTGGAGAGCCACGTTTTCTTCCATGACATGTTGTGGTGGTTAGGTGCTGTCCAGTCAGACTCGTGGCGATCCTTTACAACAGAAGGAAACACGGCCTGGTCCCCGTGATGTGTCAGTAGC